TGGTCACCTTAAAAGAATCTGTCAGTGGGCTGCAGGTACGAGTGGGCAAGGTGTAGGGGCCAGTCCCTCAGCTGGGAGACAAAACAAACCTTGAGACAAGCAGTGATGACAAGAGAGAGAAGGCAGTGATGCTGTGGGATTGGTTAGCCTGAGAGAAACCTATGGGACCAGTGGTTCACTTGAGACATGTGTTTAAATACATGAGGGGCATGAATTTGACAGCAATCTATTATACTAAAACAACTTTACTCAAACTTTGGTTAAATCCAGTGGAGATAAAAGTATCACACTCTCCACAAATGCACAAAACTAAATAGTCTGTGTTTTAGTTCAAATAAACTGATGTACGTCGGTCGGCGTCACCATGTTTGTTTTGGTCTTGTGTCTTTGGGCGCATTACTTTTACTTCCACATAAACATCATTGCAGGAGTTTGTGAATTCATAAATATTGCGAGAATCACTCTTGCTGTTCAGAGTTCGATACATAGAGGATTAGACAGTGCAGCATAGCCATTTCTTTTCAAATACTAAAAGAATATCCACTGCTCGCTAGTGTCATTTGTAAAGCATGGTCCACTTTGTTGTCATGACTTTTGCAGTGATATTGGCTCCTGCTGGGCCTGCAATTTTTCTATACTGAAGACAGTGGGCTTGTTTCTTTTATTAAGTCGTTGCAATCAACATTGTGATTTAACTTGTGCAAATTCTAACTATAGAGCAGCATAAGCATTATATATGTCTTCTTTAACCTGTTTTTAAAGGGCTGGAGTTGCTTGTTTTAGACTTTTTCTCAAAGGCTTCACTGCGTGTGGTGCTCTGAATATCTGGCAACCATGCCCCCCCCACTAGCCCCCTCAACCCCTTGGCCCCTGGCACATGCCTCTCCTTTGCACATGGACATATGAGAGGGCCGCACAGGGCCGGTCTTTAATGTTTGCCAGAGTTCACACAGAGGCAATATATGCAGTCTAAAGGTCACTGAGCCACTGCTGTCACACTATAGAAAGTATTTATGGCTATAGGTATGTTTGTGTTTCT